AGGCATATCGGGAATGAGAGCGACGAGGAGGCCTCAGAAGAACCAGGGCCGAAACGGGAGAGAAGACACCATGACATCAATTTCATTTATGGAGGTAATGCGGGTGGTGACTCTTCATCCCTTCGGAAGAAGTGGGCCCGTCAATTGTATATTGGTGAGATCATGCACTCTCCAATGAAGAAAAAGGTACGACGTGAGCCTATATGTTTTACTGATGATGACCTACCACCATGTCCAAGCCCACACCGGGATGCCATGGTTATCAAAATGGAGATTAATGATCTTGTCATACACCGTACCCTGGTCGACAAGGGAAGTTCCGTGAACATAATGTACATCGACACTTTCGAGAAACTGAAGTTGTCCAAAGGAAAGCTCCATCCGATCAAGACTCCATTGTCTGGGTTCACGGGTGACTCTATCGAGGCAGAAGGAGTCATCACAGTCCCGGTGGAAGTAGGGGACACGTCCCACAAAGTGAAACTCGACATGGAATTTGTAGTCGTTCGATTGGCATGTGCACATAATCTTATACTCGGACGACTGGGGTTGGAAGATTTGCAATGCATTGTGTCCCCGACACATCTCTGTATTAAGTTCCCAACATCGACCGAAGTGGGGATAGCACACGGGAACCAGAAGCTCGCCCGAAGATGCTACATAAAAATCACGAAGAAGGTGGGGCGTCATGACCTCCAGGTAAACACTGTCGCCACACAATATCTACAGGATGAAGAACAAAGGCCCCGTGCTGAACCCGCAGAAGGGACAGAGGAGGTCACCCTTGACCACGAAACACAAGAGTGGAAGATTAAGATAGGAACCGGATTGGGGACTGAGCTCCGCGCTGAAATCATAGCCGTCCTAACCATGTACCAAGGTGTATTTGCAAGAGGGCCAGAAGACATGCCAGGCATCAGTAGAGACGTTATCTCTCATCGCCTGGACGTGGATGCCACGTCAAGACCGGTAAAACAAAACAAGCGTTACATGTCCTCGGACAGGCGGGAGTTCGTAAGGAAAGAAGTGGGCACCTTGTTAAAAATCGGACATATCAAGGAGGTTAAATACCCAGAATGGTTAGCAAACGTGGTATTGGCACCTAAACCCCCAACATGGAGTATGTGTGTTGATTACACAGATCTCAACAAGGCATGCCCGATGGATCCATTCTCATTGCCTAACATCGACCGGTTGGTGGACGAAACAGCGGGGTGTGAGCTGATAAGTTTCATGGATGCCTTCAGTGGATACCACCAGATTCGCATGCATGAGGGGGATGCAGAGAAGACCTCGTTCATGACACCAGAGGGCGTTTTCTGTTACCTGGTCATGGCATTTGGACTAAAAAACTCTGGGGCAACGTACACCCGCATGATCTCTAAGCTTTTCAGACCTGTTCTAGGCCGCACCATGGAGGCCTACGTGGATGATATGATTGTGAAGAGTAAAAAATCGAGCACGCATGCTATGGATTTGGAAGAGGTATTCAAAATCATGGAGAAATTCAATCTATGCCTCAATCCGAAGAAATGCACTTTTGCGGTGCAAGGCGGGAAGTTTTTAGGATACTTGGTGAGCCGGAGAGGAATTGAGCCGAATCCAGAGAAGGTTAAAGCCATTCTGGACATGGAGCCTCCCCGTAATGTTAAGGAGGTCCAGCGATTAACAGGACGCTTAGCAGCACTAAACCGCTTCTTATCAAAACTAGCTGAGAAGGCCACACTGTTTTTCCACATCATGAAGAAGTCAAAAGGTTTTGTATGGACTGAGGAGTGTCAAACTTCGTTCGAAAGATTGAAGCAATATCTCTTATCTCCTCCGGTGTTATCTAAACCAGAGATGGGGGAGACCCTTTATCTATATCTGGGGGTCTCCCCGAGTGCAATAAGCTCTGTCTTGGTACGTGAGGAGGGTGGTGCTCAGAGACCTGTTTACTATGTCAGCAAACCCCTGGGGGATGCTGAGCTACGGTACACTGCCATAGAGAAAACTGTTTTGTCAGTGGTGTGGACAGTCAAACGACTGACGCAATACTTCCAAGCTCACCCCGTCCATATTTTGTCACACCAACCTCTAGGTGCGCTGATGAGGAGTCCCACAGCATCATCAAGGATGGTCAAATGGGCAGTATACCTTAGTCAATTCCACATAGAAGTGAGGCCTCGCCCTTCAGTCAAGGGGCAAGCTCTGGCGGATTTCATTGTGGAATGCACAGCACGTGAAGAAGCGACGAAGACGAGGCATGAAGACCATGATTCCGAGTGGTGGATATTGTCCACGGACGGCTCCTCCGCAGCCAAATCTTGTGGCGGAGGAGTGGTCCTCACCACGCCCGAAGGCTTTAGGGCCTACTATGCCATCCGGTTCAATTTTAAAGTATCTAATAATAAAGCGGAGTATGAAGCTCTGTTATGTGGTTTGCGCCTAGCGGCGAACATGCGGGCGGAGAAGGTAAAGTTCCGATGTGATTCAAAGCTAGTTGTGGGACAAATCACAAGCGAATTTGAGGCAAAAGAGGAACGCATGAGGCAGTACCGCGATGCTGCACTGGAACTCTTAAAATTGTTCATAGCTTATGAGATTGAACAAATTCCGAGGGGACAGAACGTTGAGGCCGACATGCTGTCCAAACCCAGCGCAGAGACCCCTGAGAGGATCTCAAGGATCGCAAGAGTGGAAGAACTAGACACTTCTAGCATATATGCGTGTCCTGTGCACACCATAATTGCTAGAAACGAGGACTGGATAGACCACCTCACCAAGTATATTCGTGAGGGAATATTGCCTGCTGAGGAGGTTGAAGCCAAGGTGATCAGGATGAGGGCGCCAAGTTATACGATTTTAAATGATGTGCTGTATAAAAGGTCTTACAATGGCACACTCCTCAAGTGTCTACGACCGAATGAGGCCATGGCTGCCATGGAAGAGATACACGTAGGGACATGCTCAGCGCATCAGGGGGCGCACACCATGTCACGAAAGGTAATTCTACAAGGATTCTTCTGACCAACCATTGTAAAAGATTGTGCAGCCTTTGTTAAAAGGTGTGTCGTGTGCCAAGAGTTTCAGAAATCTCTGGGACGCCCAACAACGTATTATACCCCCATCAGCACGGCCATACCATTCACTAGATGGGGAATTGGTCTTATCGGGGCCTTGCCGAGGGAGACCGGGAGCGTCAGATGGGTTATTGTGGCCATAGACTACTTTACCAAATGGATCGAAGCGATACCTTTGGCGAGCATCACCGAAGGACAGTGCAAAATATTTGTCATGAAACACATCCTCTGCCGTTTCGGAGTACCCCAACAAATCACAACCGATAATGGAAGGCAGTTCGGAGCATCTGGGTTTAATGACTTTTGTGAGAGTTGGGGAATCAAACACAGCAGTGCATCGGTCGCTTAACCTCAGGCGAATGGGCAGGTGGAAAATGCAAACCGCACAATTATGGATGGTTTGAAAAAAAAGCTCGTAGCAGACGGAGGCGAGTGGGCTGAGGAACTACAACAAATACTCTGGGCATACAGGACCACGCCGAGGAAGGCAACTGGCGAAACACCATTTGCTCTTGCATACGGTTTTGAGGCGAGGGCGCCAGCCGAGGTAATGCTCTGTAGTCATCGAGAGGAACAGTATGATCCAGAAATAAACGAGGAGATCATGACAACCGAACTTCATTTCATTGAAGAAAGAAGAGAAGCGGCTTTCTGCCGCGCAGAGAACTATCGAAGGCAAGTCAAGGCATACCACGACTCTCGGGTGCTCAAGCGAAACCTTGACGTCGAAGACTATGTCTTGAGGAAAAGAGAAGTGAGTAAACCCTTGGAAGGCGGAAAGTTTTCAAAGAATTATGAAGGTCCTTACATCATAAAATCAGTGATCCGTCCGGGGACCTTCAAACTTCAGACACCTAAAGGGAAGGAGATCGAGAGGACCTGGAATGCTGAGCACCTACTCAAGTTCTACCAGTAATATATTCCTTTTGGTGTTCTATCTATAATGTAAGTTCAACATCTACTCATCAATAAAGTACTATGGTGTGCACGGTCTGTTACCGTCACCATTACTATGAGAACGTTTCGCACAAAAAAAAAGACCCTCCGCGGTCGCTATGGGAAGATATTCTAGTACAATATTGATAACAATAAAAGCTTGGGCGACACTCAATGTGTTACCATAAAAAAGAGTAATATGCCCTGAGCATGTTCCTTACAATGCCTAACCCTGGGTCGCATGGTCAGGATGTGCATGTAGAAATCCCTAGGCGCGACCATGTTTCCCGAAAGACGTCGTGTGCCCTGTGCAAACCTGGTCATCAGGTTCGCTCACTCAACATGGCTCTCAGGTCACTACTGAGTGATGCTGTGACACACCGAAAATTTAAATAAAGTAAAATAGTTAATTTTATTAGTGAGATAAAATGTTACAAAAGTGTCATTTTTATAAGAATATATGTTTATCAGATGAAATTTTGGCTTAAAAAAAAAGGTAACATTTTATAGATAAAACATGAACATAATAATGTATACTCTATTCCTTGAGGGCCGTGACTACCAAATTGGTACTTAGCACATTTTAAAACCGTAAGTTTAAACTTAAGTTGACTATTCAAACTTAAGAAACGTTTGTAATATTAGAACCCGGCCATAAACTTGGTATATGTTTGTATTGGTATTACTACTATTATTATTAATTATTATTAATTATTATTAATACTCTACTACAAGGAAACGGGGTTGACCTTCCATATATCTACCTACGCACGTATAACTCTACATACACACGCACAACTATATTTGGAATACTAGTACGGAGTAACACCTTATAGTCGCCGGTTTCAAATTAAAATATGCACATGTTTAGTTATACATATGTATATCTCCGATCAGTGTTCACACCGTAGCCTCCGTAGGAAACCTACGTAGAACGGTAGAAACTAAATAAGGAAACGGTGATAAATGCCCAAGATTCTTTCTTAACATATAAACAACGAACTAGAACCTTCAATCGTGGGTATATAAACACATAGTTGCGATCAATCTCGCTGCACCAAAACGAACCATCACATACTATATACGAAGGGAGCTGCACTGCGAGAGAAAGAAAGAAAAACATGTGAAAGAGAGAACAGAGAGAGGGAAAGAGAAGGACTTGTTGGTGCTATCGCCGCCGGAGAAGGGAGTCCGGGTCGCATCGCCGGAGGAGCAGCTCACACGTGACTTACACCGGAGAAGAAGAAAAGAGACCGTCGTCGCCGGAGGGGAAAGTCGCCGTAGTCAACTACACCATTTCCGCTTCACGTCGCCGTTGCCGCTGTGCCGTCGGGGGATGCTCGTCAAGGGGAGGAAACCGCCACCGTATCAAACTCGATCCGTCGCCCACTAGGTAAGTGAACTTCCCTGCGTATTTTTCCGGCGTTCGTCCGCTGTATCACGGGGAGAAAATGACGATCTCAACTTCTGCTTTGGTATTAGATTATTTGTATTACTGAAATGGGAATTTAACATTCATGGCCGAACCATATTAAATCACTGGGCTAACGTATATTAGTAACTATAATAATATTGATAATAATAATAATATTAAAAATGGTGATTACAACCTGTGAAATCGTTAATGAAGATGTCAGATAGCAATTAAGATTTGGAATGGCCAGATTGATAATAATTACCTTTAATGAAATTGTCACTTCTTAGTTGAGATGACTACATAACTTAAAATCATGGATCAATTAAGTTGTTACTAATAATATACACGATTTAAGTATTATCTTAAGATATATGACTATTTTAGAACTGTTAAATTAATAATTTTTGGGTTGTTTCTAAAATTGATTACTGAGTAATATTATTCGGATATATTTGTTATAAAATACAAATAAGTATTTTGAAAATCTAACGATTATAATTCGGATCTTTTACAAGAGAAGATTAATTTAATGGCTGTTTTAGTACTAAAATTTTATGAAAATAATTCAGACATTTTTAAGTGTAAATTAATTCGGATATTGGAATAATAGATTAAACTAAAGTACCGAATTCATAAAAGAAATGAGTAGATAAGGTGAGAAGTTAAATTACGAAATAAAGTAAGGTTAATAAAAGTGATTAATTAACAGTTAACAGATAACCTATGTTCGAATATTAAAATAAGAGGGGGAAATCGGACATATTATTGCAAATAGGATAAGTGACTGATCATATCGTCTTAATTAAAAAGGTGATTATTTTGAGACAAGAATAGAGGAGAAGAACTAGGAGCATCAGATTTAAGGTAAGTTTCTCTGCCGATCCAAAATTGTTTCCTCGTATTATATGCTTATTATGCATTATGTGATTAAGTGTGAATTGTGAATTTTGTGTATGTGATTTTGAGGAGATATTATATAAATGGTAGTTGAGAAACATAAATTAAGAGTACTTTTGGGATATTAAATATTTTTAAATGCCATTGAGACTAATTACAGAGATTGAGAAATATTTTTGGAAGTATATCTAAAGTCAAGATAAAATTTACGTTTTCATAAGAAGTGAGCACCCGGGAGAAATCCGTGGTGTCGGTTTTCCACATCCGGATAAATGTGGAGGGTGATTAGGCTGCTACTACTAAGAAGTATAGTTTAAGTTTTAAGTGACATTTGGATCTATGATCCCTTTTAAAGAAGAAGTTATAGTAGTAGTCCCTAATCATTCAAGAATTTTAAAGGTGGGGTGGTTGGTAGACTGAGTCCCGACTACCCGAGATGACTTACTACTCGGAGGGCTTGGAATCCCTTTTAGGGGGTGTGCACACTTAAGGTAGTCGTTTCGTTTCCGCAAGAGCAGTTGTGGTACCGGCACTTGTTCGGGGTGGTCGTCCGTAACCACGGTCCACCGGGCTCAGTCGAAAGGTTGAGCACCGCCCTTCTAAATTACTAGGAAGTTAGAGAAGAAGTGATTTTTGAGATGATCAAAGAAGAAGAGAATTTTTATGGAGTGTGTTATTTTTATATAGTATTATATAAAAATCTATTTTTGCCAAACCTGATTATTTTACGGGGTTGGGTAGTACTTACTTAGCTCTAAAGCTAATTTTTGTTTTCTTTTCTTTGTTTTGTTTTCTGCACTTTATTTGTGTAGGTGATGATGCTTTGTTGATTGATGATTGCTTGATTCCCGAGAGCGGTTTAGAGATGCCTTAGACAAACTTAGTCAAGAATAAACATTTTAATTTACTTATGTTTTGAACACTAGTTTTAGTTTGTTTTGTCTGGGGTTAGCCTGTGCATTCGGTTAAGAGATGACCGGATGTGGCGGTAACACCCATTTCCCATTTAATATTATTTCCGCTGCAAAACTTTTTATCTGTTTTGATAGAATAAATAAAGTTTATTATCAATAAATCTATTATTTCAAGTACTATTTTGGTAGGGAAAATGGGGGTGTTACAGATGCGCACAACGTAGCAAAGGAGGAGGAGTCCCCGACAACTTGTGCCTTTTGCTGTCCATGGTAAGTTGGTAACCCCCTAGTAATGTGCGGTACCGTCATACTGAACCAAAGTTCTCATATCCGACATCAGGAGAAGTTTGGGGAGGGGGAGACGCCGAGTTCTATGCTCAGCGCTACACCATCATATATTACATCAAAGAAAAATGACCGCGTGCACCCCGTTTAAGCAGGGCGCAGTGTGCAACGTGATCACCCGTATAGGTAACAATATTAAAAAAAAATGATATTAAAAGGAAATATTACATTGTCAAGATAATTGTTTGCTTGAAATTCAAAAAACGGTCTAACAAATTAGGTACTAAAGAAAAAGAACATGCAGACCACGTTATGGTAGTCTAACTCTAACACTCTCCAAGGCATAGAGATGGTCAAAGAGGGGATCGTTCAAGCTAAAGCCCCAGCATTGCTACTTCTTCGGAAGTTATGGGGTGATCAGGATTTGCACCCCTAGGGAGCTCGCCCAAGGGAGCGACTCTGGAAGAAGAGTCGACATTCTCAGGCTCTGGGTTAGGAATCTCAAAGGGAAGCCCCCAATCGACAATGCATGAGGCACCGTGCTTGGCCTTCAAAACAGCATAAATTTCTTGTTGTTTGGTATATTCCCCCAAATTGTAGCACAGTAAACCGTCTTTGTCAAGTCTATCGACGCCGGCGAGAGTTTTAAGCCAACGTTCAACGATCTCTTCTAGGTGGGAATCAATGTAGTGTTCCCGCTCAGCGCGGACCTTGGTTAACTTGGCGGTGTGAGCATCCCTCTCATGTGCCTCCCTGACCGTGTGAGCTTCAATCACTTCGCTCATCAATCTCTTATGGGCAACCCGCTCCTCAGAAAGCAACTTTAATAGCTCTTGCTCACGCACAACATGCTGACGATTCTTCCCGGAGATCTTCAACACAAGCTACAAAAAATATTATATAATATATATTATTAGTCACACATACCTTTATACAAAAATGAACACCTACACATATACCTTACTATTAAATAAATATTTACTAATCATATTTGAGCATGGTCACGTGACACATAATGTCATGATGTACCCGCTGACCATGCACACAAATACGTTATATACCTCTTAACCCCTAAATACCACAATATAGTAATGTGACACACACATCACACATACTTATGATTGTTATACATGCAATGCTATGAAGGAAAGTGAGTGGTTACCTCTACTGCGACATGGAGACAATCATCCTCCAACGGTCCATCAGCCACACTCTTCAGTCCTTCCTTGAGCATGACATCACGAGCACCATTAGTGCTTCGGGTGATGCGCCGTGTCTCTTTGGTAACCGGGTCGTTGGTAATGGGCATAGAAGGGGACGAGACACCTTCACCTTGCGAGGCGGGTAGTATGGCCTTTTGTTTCTTGCTCGGCGGGTCTTGAGCAGACGCATGTGACCCTTCGCCATTCATCTTCTTGAATCTCTCCGCACGGGACGTCATACCTGTAAGAATAAATAAATAATATACACATATATTAATTTGTTAATCAGGGGAAGGATCTTGTTCCAAAAAGAGCACGGTGAGCGTAGACAACCTGGGCCTAAAGAAAGGGGGACGAGGATGTCTGATGGTGAGCACAATCCCGAGGTGAGGAAACCAAGTCTGCTCAAATGGTCCTCGGTAGTATATGCAGAAATGCTAAACGTTCCGCCCGCTAAGAACTTTTCCGGCCATAACTCTTGATCGGCGGGAAGAGTGAGACGCGCAAACTTCTTATAATGAGGGCTGAAAACTGTGGGGAAGGGGAGAGCATGTCCGGTAGACACAAAGATGAATTCTTCCTTCCAATTACTGATTTTACTGTGCGAAACTTTCCACGCGTCAAGGTGGGTACGTTGGGAAATAGATACCCATGACAGACTATTAGCTCGGGAGCATTGACCAACCCTAAACAGGTGCATAAAAAGATCTAGAGACGGCTTAACCTTGATCTCCTTACATCGGGCCAAAAATGCCATCAGGTACTGATGACCAAATGGGGTGAGCTGGCACGGAGAAATCTCAAGCTCACATAGGAACTCAGTGATGAAAGGATGCATGGGGAGCCTAAATCCTAGTCTCACGGAGAGGGTATGTATCCCGAAAAAATCACCCTCAGGGGGCTCAGTGACTATGTCATCTCGGTTCGGGATAACCATGGTAACATCGAACGGGAAAAGTCCCCGATATCTTTCAAACTCAGAAAATGAAAGTCGTGATTTGCATGATTCAATGTGAGTCGCATCTAAAGGAACATATAGCCCACGAGGGCGACATTTTTTCAGTCTCACCAAGTCAACTATTGGAGATTCTGGACTAGCTACCTCAATGTCAGAATTATCATATATCCAAGGTACATTTTCTAAAGCCGTTCCATTAACCGGATCTGAAAGTTCGCTTAAGTCTATGGAATCCAGTACATCCATAAGATATTGACGGCTAAAATACAAATAAACAAGAATTAGCAAAAAAATTCAATTTCAGTAGCTAATTACAAAAAAAAAATCATTTACTGATTACAAAAAACGATGATTAGTTATATATAAAAAAATCATTGACTAATTATCTACAAAAACAAACGAGAAATCCTCTTCTTAAAAGGCCATTATAGTACTGGCAAATTACGTAGTACATATGGGCAAATTACTACGGAGTACATACTAACATTACAAAAGAAAAAAAAAGTACTTCGTAAGAGAAACAAAACAAAATAACAAAGCAAAATTTGAAAAGAAGTCAAAATTTAAAAAGAAGTCAAAATAAAAAGATAAGGTGGAGAGAGGTTACCTTTCTCTAGAAGAATGAACGGCTCAGCAAAAACCCACGCCTAGCAGCGGGCGACTGAGGTGAAGACCGACCAGGCCGGCGACGGCGCGGACCAGGAACGAAAGGGTGACAGAGGTGGTCAGTAGTGGCGGCGTGCGGTGTTGCGTCGAACTCTCGACCTCGTCAACCACTTGCCAATTGGAAGAGGAGCTGCGGTTTTTTCCGGCCTTGGTCTGGAGTCTACGAGGGAAGACGACGGCGCCAGAGGTTCTGGCCGGTGACGGGACGTAGCAGCAAGGCCCAGTAGGCGGGCCGTTCCGGCAGTTCAATAGGCCGGCGGTTCCGTTTCTCCAGAGCTACGACGGCGAGTGGTCTATTTTTTCGGGGCGGCGGCGAGTCACTCCGGCACGGCAGCAGCGTTTCCTCCGCGGTGTAGCTACTGGGTTGGACTGTTGGAGTTCTTGAAGGATGAATATTGGGTTAATAATATGATAAAATTTACATGCTGGGATGAATTTTGATTTATTATTTTGGTCCTTCAAAATTGAAAAACGATTTGAGTCAACTATGAATCACATGTCTCTCTAAATTTATGATTGGATGAAAATGATTGGGTAATAATATCATGACATGGTAAGCATTGACGAAATGATCCTGGGATGAGAATTGAAGGATATTCGTTCTCTACTTTGAAGTACATGCTCAGCATCTTGTACATGTTGAGATAACATGGTCAACATGTATAAATGAAAGACTTTGTATTCTACTTAAGGTGACGTGCTCACCATGTACAAGATGAATATCCGTACTATACTACTAAGTGACATGCTCAGCATGTACTCTAAGTGACGTGCTCAGCATGGACAATTTATTTACTATTTAGTGTATCACCTTATGGGTGACATGCACAACAAGTCTTAGAGTGACATGCTCAACGCACCTTATGAAAGACATACTTGAAAAGGACGACGTGCTCAGCAGGCCTTGGGAGTGACATGGTCAGCTAAAAGAACAGAAAAGTAAAATCAACGGGGTGAACCGTTGCCCAGATAATCAACGATAAATTAATACCGTTGCCCAGAGCCAAAAGGCTTAACCAAACTTTTATTCCAAGATGATAAGAATGAACCCTGGCGAGGGGTATAAATAGCCTTCTACAAGAAACCCTAATCAAGCCCAAATTAATTAAATCCTAATTAGGCCCATACTACTCTACTAAGTACTCTACTAATAAAAGGCCCAAACCAAAACATAACATTAACTTAAAATAATAATAAATAATTATAAAGACAGCCCGTAACCGGCCCACGGAAGTGGGCCCAAGCCCGGTCCCGCCACAAGCTCTTCCCGCTTCATATCAATCCATCCCCCTTAAAATAACCTTGTCCTCAAGGTTGAAAACTCGCGGATCGGGAACTGAAATTTCCAGACATAGAATAGACTGGAAAATATTCTTCTTCTCTTTCCTGAACCCTTTCCTGGCCGGTTATTTCACAGAATTCATGCTGCTTGAGGTCCAACTCTTCATCCTCCTCAGCTAACATTACCCGTAGTTGCTTAAAGGGACAGTCATGTGTTGGTGTAAATGGTTTCTTGCACCTAAAGCATAATCCTTTTGCCCTCAAATCTGCTAACTCTTTTGGCGCAAGACGGGTGAACTGAGATCGTGTCGTTGGCTGCCCAGACAGGCCTGACTTCGTCCCCGGAGGCTGTCCACTATCTCTCGCAAAGCTGCCCCATAAGCCCTGTAAGCTGCCACCAGTGGCAGTCAACGGGGGACCCGTGTTTGCCCTTACAAAACTGCTGGAACGTACCCCTGAAGAATGATAATTCAGGCTGCCACTTTCTCCACTTTGGACGGACAGATTATGCTCTATATCGCGAGCTAATTCCATAGTTGTTTCCAGGTTTTCTGGCCAAAGTAATCGCAACGAACTTCGGATTGTTTCCTTAAGCCCACTCATGTAATAGCCCAAGTAATGATCGTCAGTTAGTCCGGGTACTTGACTGACCAGTTGTACAAACAAAGTATTGTAATCTTCCACTTGCCCAATTTGTTTGACGCCAGACAGTCGTTCAAATTGATTCCCCTGAAATCGGGAATCAAATCTGGACACTAGGGACTGTTTGAAATCTTCCCAGGTTATACCGGGTCTTCGTGCCTTCAACCATGTTACTCAATAGAGGGCCCCTCCCTCCACTGCCACCACGGCGGCTGTGACTTTCTTCTCCGGTAGAGTTCCGAGTAATTCAAATTGTTGTTCAGCACGGGCTATCCACCCAATCAGATCTGCCCCGTCGAACGCAGGCAGCAGGGTAGGAACTGGGTCGGGCAGCAGTCCGTCACCAGTCGCAGAGTCGCTGGTGTGATGATGGCTCCGATTCCAGGCTTGGTGGCGTCCGGCGTACCTGGCGGCACTAGGGCCTTCGTCAGCGCGGCCAATGATTCAGCGATTTCTGCCAGCTTCGTTCTGTGTTCTTCAAGGGTGTGATTCATCCGTTTTTGCTCCTCCGCCATCCTGGCTTGCTCAGCACTCAACCGCACTTGTTCTTCTCCCATGCGGTTCTGTTCAGTCTCCAGTTCTGTCAAACAATCACTTTGTGATCTGGTCATCTTGGCGGGACGGGATCCGGCAGGTCGGACCAATTGAAAGAACAGAAAAGTAAAATCAACGGGGTGAACTGTTGCCCAGAGCCAAAAGGCTAAACCAAACTTTTATTCCAAGATGATAAGAATGAACCCTGGCGAGGGGTATAAATAGCCTTCTACAAGCAACCCTAATCAAGCCCAAATTAATTAAATCCTAATTAGGCCCATACTACTCTACTAAGTACTCTACTAATAAAAGGCCCAAACCAAAACATAACATTAACTTAAAATAATAACAAATAATTATAAAGACAGCCCGTAACCGGCCCACGGAAATGGGCCCAAGCCCGGTCCCGCCACAAGCTCTTCCTGCTTCATATCATCAGCGTGTATGACTTATTTATTACTTGATGTAACACATTATGAGTGACATGCTCAGCAGGCCTTTGGGGTGCCACGGTCAACATGTACAACTTATTTATTTCTTGGTGTAACACCCTATGGGTGACATGCTCAACACAGACGGAAGTGAGGATCATTAGCATACTACTCTAAGCGACGCGCTCGACATGAACGTGCTTAACAGAGATGAAATGGCGGTCTTATG